TTTCTCTATTTTCTTGGACCTTCCAGGCGCATACACAATAATGATCAACAATGTGATGGCGAATTCTAAAATTTCATCAAACCCTAAGATGAATGTTCTAAAAAGTTTTATAATTTATCACATCAATACACTAAGCAGTCATGAACATGCATTATGAAAATATATTTTGATTTAGAGAATCACATTTTTGCAGTGAGAGCTTGAGCATCTGGTGTTCTTACTTTCATATATTTTTTTCAAGGTCATCACTGCCTTTAGCATTTGCTGATACTGCCACAAAATTAAATACAAAATGTTAATGTCATAGACTAATTTTAAATGTTCACACATATTTCATTAAGTTCACTTTACGACCCTCTCACATATGGGAAATTAATTAGGAAAATCCTCTTTAATAATGTTTTTAATGAAGTTTTAAAAGTTGGTGAATCATGTGGTTTCACATGTTTTTTTTCTTTTTTCAAGAGAACAATAAAATTATGTAATAAAAGTAAATACAGCACAAGTAAAAACATAGAACAGGAAAAACACCAACTGATTCCTTTGAAAATGATTAGAGATACATTTTTCATACCAAATGAAATAACTTTTCACAAACACGAAGAATATAACCAATATCAAAAGGTACAACATATCACCTACAAGGTTAAAACTCTTCGAAATCATAGATGCAAGTGAACCTTTAGAAGCAATAAAAAATACACCTCATTTTCTGGAATGTATATAATACATTAACACTGACAAACTTTAATGTTATGGAAATCCTCAGAGGAAGGGATATACATTGGTCCTGGTTTAGTGGAATTTTACAAAGATGATGATGTGCAAATGAAAGTTTTACAATTGTCAGAAAGACAAAACAATTAAACGGAACATTATACATAAAAGCAGTTTCAGTACTCTGCAGGGTAAAAAATAAAAGACCACTCTCAGTAAAATTTTGCACCACTTTATTTGATCATTTCTAAATATCATACAATATATTTATACAGCACATTAATGAGTGGACTTCCATGAAACTTGTAAGATCTCTTCAATTGGCATACAACTGCATGGCAGACTGCAGGTGAACCATACGTCGAGGCAGGGAGTGCTGAGTCCCATGTCCCCTATGCAACTCAAGTGCAAACAAAATAGCCAATAACCAATGCAAACTTACAAATATTATTGGAAGGAATTTTAGTAGCTTACATTTCAAGCATTAAAAAAATTGAATATAAAATATAATACAATATTCTAGAGTAACATATAAATATTACGTACAGGCAATCTAGAAAGCAAATCCTACATAGGTTATAGAAGTGCCTAAAACCTGGACAAGCTCAGCACCACCTTGGCTCAACATCATGGTTGCAGAGCAAGAAGTAGAAAAAAACAAAAACAAAACAAAATAAAAAAAATAAATAAAAACAAAAACAAAAAGAACTTAATCAGCTCATACAGATGGAAGGAAGGTTCAAAACAGGTAGTCACATGGAAGTGTTAGCTACCTATCTCCTGCTTTTCAAAGCTTAAAAAGCATAGTAATTATCTTAGTAAGAATGGAAACATGAAATGCAAGTGAGGCGCTCCTGGCATGATAATGAGCTGTTACCTAACTGGTAGTTAGCATAAGCAATGGAGTATTCAACAAACCAGTGGGGGACAGATACATGGATTACTGGTAAAGATTGAAGCAGGATAAAGGTAATTCACCTATAAATGTCAGTTGACAGAGATGATGCTACATGATAATATTACGTTTATCACTACAATCAACAAGGCCATACACATTTGACTGGTAAAATGTCTCTTCATTTGATGTACATCATTCTTATTCACCAGTTTTAGTGTCATATGAGAATTTTGATGTATGAAAATTCCCTTTCATGCCTTAAAGTTCTGATATAAAGATACAGCTCTTTAAAACTTCTTACCTATAATATTACTCAGCAACCAATTGTGAAGATCTGATAACAGTCTGTCCTCCCTCTACTACAATCTTACTTCTTGTATCTATCAAGAAGGAAAAACCAAGAATTTATCCTCCTTTTACACTCATCTTTCTTGAACTCTTTCAGAGTAGATGGCACCTAACTGCCAGATATTTGCATTCCATTCTTGAAGATAAAGCAGATGAATTTACTTCTCAAAATACATGGCTTTTGCTCACTTTATATGTTCACCTAATTTCTTTGAAAAAAAGAAAAATTTAACACTAAAAAAAAGAAAAGATAAAAAATATCCCTTCCTTCGATAGTCTGGATCAACATTATGTTGGTTAAAAATAAAACAGAACTTCTGCAGTAATCCATCACACTTTCTCTACATGTGAATAAATCTCTAGAAACTTACATACTGCACATGAGACGTGCAGTAGCACCAAATTCCATCACAATAATAATCTTGGTCTTTGCTTCAGTCCTTTACATTGCTATACACATGCAGGCTAACTAAAGGAAGCCTCCTGCTTTAAAATGAACCATTGATACCACCTTACGAGGAAAGTCTGGGTGGAGTTATTTGAAGGTCTTCCTGACCACAGTCACTGGTCACTTGGCATAAGCACGCTGTAGGCATTTCACACTATGTGCATGTATAACCTTCAGTGTTTAGCTGGAAGACCATTCAGCATTTGCTTAGCCTTCTTGTGAATCACTGTGGCTAGCCTTGTATATCCCTCATACTCTAGTGCAGTTCCCATCACAGGACCCACCACTATTTCATCGCTGTACAACTCTCACTGTACATATTATAATACAACATATACACTGTTTATCCCTTGTTCAATCTACAACCACTGAACAGAGAGGAGTGTTTCAACATGATTGATCAATTCACCTAAAAGATACATTTGTTCTCATACGTCATGGAACAGTAATATAATAAAAAAAAAGGATCACTATAGTAAACAATACATCTAGTCATATCTAAAAAGAACAGAATGGATGACTGAGGTACAAAATCAAATTATTTCTGATGCAAACAAACATTAGAAATTTCCATTTTCATCCCTTCTATTTTGATGACTAGTTTGAAACTCGTCAACTAGCACTGGAAACACTGCTGCCCCTTGTCAGCTGTAAATCACTTGTAAAGTTCTTCAAATGGACAATAGTAAGACCCATGTCATTCAATGGATGAGACACAAAATATTCTACGGTTAACTTCTGCTGGACTGCCAGGACCATGTTGCTTCCACTGCCGTTGCTGAGCTCATCTCCATATGTGGGAGTACAAAATTAGAGGATCACAGATGCAGGTTCCTGTCCCTGAGAGGAACTTGGAATGTTGGCCACACCTACTGCTGTTGCCACTGTACCCATGAGGCACTTGTGGCAGGTGGCTGTTGTGAGGGTTGTTGCTGTAATGGCATGTTACTGCCGCTACTGCTGGTACTACTAGTACTAGGGGGAGTTCCAGAAACATCATCTACTTGGGACACAGCCACTATTGAGCCATCGGACAGCTTCTGATACGGGTAGGGGAATGTATGAAATGTGGGAAATATGTGGCCATGAAAAGGTGCAGTAGCATATCCCACTGTGGGATAAACTGGTCTCTGCCCTGGATGTTGTAATGATGCTGTGGCTTTCTGCTGGGCCATCATCTGGTTGAGTGTCATCTTGCCTTGAGATGGCCGCTGCGCCTGTCGAGGGCCGCTCAGGTTCTGAACCAACTCTAACATATCCTCTGAGATTGTACGCCCCTTCTTTCCTGACGTTGTGCCACTACTGGAGGTATCCACAGAATGATCGGATGCAATGGCTGCATCACCATTAGCACCAACTGGGATATCACATTTCTCTGACTGCTTTGAGTCTGACTGGGAGTGTGGCGACGTTGGAGTCGTGCCTGGGGTGGGGGACCCGGGGATGAAGCCAGGCGTAGAGACTGAGGTCGTCTACTGTTCTGGCTTCGTTGTAGACGCTGGACTTTGTAGGCTTCCCGTTCTTTTGGTGGCGACGTCTGAGTTCAGCTTCCTCGTGTTCTTGCCTAGTGATTAAGTAGAAAGATATGTCTGTAGAACATTGTTACCGGCTAAAAGGACAACATTAACATATCTGAGAAAAGCTTATGAATAGTGAAAAGAAAGAAGAAAGAAAAAGAAAGAAGCAGTTTATTTCATACTGTCAGTGATATCAAATGAACACTAAATCATAAGGAAAGAGAACTTGTATTTATTTACTTGTAAAGAAGCTGCTGAAAACTGTCATCATCTTCTGAGAAATCTTCCAGATCATGCCTCACCGTTTCCAGTTCTTCGTCCTCCTATCAAGTAAATTTACACTTTATAGTCACAATAAATAATAATCTGCAACAGAATGTGATTAGTGTAGGTATGAATGAGACTTTTCAAACCTACAGAAGTGGACGTGCATGTCTTCATGGTGAAGAGTGAAGTCTTCTTTTAAGAATACTTAGCAACCCCCTCTCCATACCATATGTAGTTCAATGTTTGTACATTTTACATGAAAGGAAACTTCTTAAAAGGATGTGTAGATAAAACTAATCTAAGAAAAGAATGACTAGCCTACTTGGAAAATCATAGACATGTCAGTCTTGAAAACACAAAATGACCCTTTTATTTCATTTCTTGATACATATGCCTTTGAGATATGTAACCTTGCATCTTGTCTACAGCAATAAAACACCACCAAGAAATTGCTAGTTACATTACTGAAAAGGGTATCTTTAACACACTAAACAGTAACACAGTGTTGGTGTTTCTACGGTCTTATCAGGCAAATAACAAGTGCCACAAAAAGATTATTTCTTATATATATCCTGGCCTGGATCTACTTGCAATATCAAAGTATCTTTATGATGACACATTTTCTAATCTAAAACAAACTTATGACTAGAACTATGTTTTTATTATGCAGTATTAAATAGTAATCACTATAAAAATCTAGCAAATAATATACTGTTTTTATATTTCTTAAAAAAACTACTTCAACTCCTATTTAGTAATACTCATGCACTATAAGACTTAAGTATAAGTATAAAACTCAAGTTTC